CTTCACAAGCCTCCCTGCCCTGCCCATTTACTAGAGAGGAAATGACAGCTAATGTGACAATGAAAATGTTATTTTGTGCAGCCTTCACAACTCTGCTTGGTAGATAAAATCTCCATTGTATAGAAGGGAAACTGAGGCTCGGAAAAGTTAAATCACTAAGTAACATGTTGTTTGGACGTAGCGGACCTGGGACTGAATCTATGTTGCCTGAATCCTTCTACAGAAAACCAAGCTCCTCACAGTGGATGGGCCTCAAAATAGAGTCTAAACACCTTAACTTTTTTCAAATTCCCAGGCTTTGCTTCCTTTTGTTGCCAAACCTCTATCCCTCACTTTAATCAAGCCTGTGTGTTTGTCTCCCAATGCCACCACCTCTACCCCCAAGCCTGACAGCTTCTCTTGTACTTGGAGTAAAGAAATACTTTCTCACCAGTGCTCTGCCTACTCCCCTGCCCCCCACTTTTCACCCTATTGAGAGTTCACCTTCCTTGCATCTCTGATTAATTTTACTTATTCCATTAAGTCTCTCCTGATTATCTAAATAAATTGTAAAAACTTTAAAAAACAAGGCAGTGGGGGCGGGGAGCACCTGGGTGGCTCAGTAGGTTAAGCATCCAACTCTTGGTTTTGGCTCACAGTTCATCAATTCAAGCCCTGCCAGTGCGGAGCCCTGATTAGAATTCTCTCTCACTCTCGCTCTCGCTCTCGCTCTCGCTCTCGCTGTCTCTCTCTCTCTCTCTCTGCCCCTCCCCCACTCACATGCTCTGTCTCTCTGTCTCTCTCTCAAAATAAATAAATAAATAAATAAATAAATAAATAAATAAATAAATAAATAAGTAACTTTTTTAAAAAGGTCTTTCCTGATTATCTCACAAAAATAGTTTTTTCAAAATGCCTAAAATATGCTTCTCTGATATCCATTTAATTACTATTGTCTTTTATGCCCATGTAATGTTTTAACTTTTGACCATCTTGCAAGCTAGATTGTGAGCCTCTTGAGATCAAGTCTATGCCTTATACATCTTTGTATTTCCACATGCTTAGCCCAAGGCCTTGTAAGAAGAAATTAGCCAATACATGTTGGTCCATGTCTGTTTCCTTCAACCTGCTGTATTGGGAGACGTAAGATTCTTCAAGATTTTCCCCTGCTTGGCAAAATATTAGTTCCATGTTAAGCCTTTCAAATCTTTGGTCTGTCCTATTAGGATGAGTGATTTTCATGAGTGAAGATAATACCAACTGTAAAATCCTGAGATTGTAGATAAATATATTGGGAAAATTTCACTAGCATATATGCAGTTTACCTCCTCGTAAACATGCAAAGGGAACTTGCTCCTACATTCCAGAATATGGGAGGTGTTACTGATACATCTTAATAATAGTTCATAGCATCTAAAGAGATAGGAAACTACTTCTAAAGGACATTACATTAAAATTTTTATCCCTTACTACTCACTTTCTAGTAGATTTTACAATATTATTTTTTTTATAAGAAATTACCAGTTATGGGGAGACACAGTGTTTTTGAAGAATGTGGAGAAATTGGCTAAAGATTGTTTTATTTGGGAGGTTCAGAGCATCTGTTTCAATTGGCATTGCTTTGAAAATTGCAAGAAACTTTGGCGATGACAAATGTTTACAATTTGCATCCACATTGTTACTAACACAATAGCCTGTTAAATCCCTTGCCATGAATAAGAGCAGACTGCAGGCCATCCACATGACTTACCAAGGGGGAAACAGACATTCACAAATTTTAATTGCTCCTATGGCACCAACAGTCTGAAAACGAAACATAAAAACGTAGCCTTGGGGAAGTTTTGCTGTGCAATGACTTTAGTGCAAACCTGACCACAGGGACCAGTGCCTCTATCACAATTATGCAGGGACCAGAATAAAATAAGTTTATCGTTTCAACCCAAGTCCTAGGGGACAATTGGCATATTTGAAAACTCATCCTATCCACTGCAAACTCAAAAACTCCTACACTTGACCCAAAATAAAGAAATCAGAGATTACATTGATATGGAAGGTGTATTTCATGCTCATCCCTAAGGGGAGTTCCTCCTGATCAAGGTCCAAACATTCTACTAAATACAGGAAGAAAAAAATGCTTCCATATCCTCCTTATCTGGAGATGAATGAATCCTCCTTATCTGGAAATGAATATCAAATTTGCGTCCAAAAGTTGAGTTATTGTAAAAGATAATTTTAAGAACAATTTTTAAGAAAAAATTAATCATCAAAAAACTTTAAGAAGAATGAAAGTATTAGGAGGTTTTTTGTTTTTGTTTCTGTTTCTTCCCAACAAAGAGTCATTCATATTCCCTCAAGGACCACCGTCCTGTGGGAGAGGGCTTAGCAGACACTGACAATTAAGTGCTAAGTGTGAGAGAAACCAGCCAATAGGCTGCCTGGAAAATTAGGCTGATCTACCTCCCTAAAAACAAGACTTAGAGGGTTGCAAAGCTGACGAGGGGAATGACCAGCAGGGATGATGAGAAACACCAAGTCAGAGAAGAGCCACAAAAGAGGCTACAATGATCCTGAAATCCAAAAATATGTGTCCCAAACCTGATCTGGCTGCAGCTCTCGCCGCTGATGGAATCTCCATCGTTCTGATTGCCACGATCGTCAAAACCACAGAGCCAGCTGGCCCTGTCCTCAAAAATGTGTCCTGAATCCTACTGTGTCTTATGACCCTGCTCTTATCTGTGGCTCCTATAGGCAAAATTCTCAACACCTTTGAAAACATCACTTCTCTGCTTAAAACCCAGCAATGGTTTCTCATTCTACACAAAGTGAAGCTAAAGTTCTTTAAATGGCCTACAAAGCTTTGGCTAATCTGCTCCAAACTTAGCCCTTCACTCTAGATGTGTTGCTCTTCCTGGCTTGTTTTTCCCCCGGATTTGCACCTGGATGACGTCTTCACCTACAAGTCTTTGATTAGACATCCTCTCAATTAGTCCTACTCCGACTTTCCAATACAAAGCTTCATCATGCCCTAGGACCTTGCAGTCTATACCATCCTTCCTCTATTCCACTCTTGTTTCTTTTTTATAGTACGATCACCTTCTAACATACTATGTAGTTTATATATTACATTTGTTGTTTATGTTTTTATGCTCCCCCCCCCCTCCATTAAATGTGTAAGTTCTTCAGGAACAGAGATCTTTCTTTTGTTCACTAATGTATTCCAGATACTTCCAAGCACCTGGGACATGTAGAAGTTAAATAATTATTTTTGAATAAATGAATGAATGACTCCATATTTTATCTGTGAAGAAACTGAGGCACAGACAGGGTAAACAATTTGTCGAGCTGAAAAGTAGCAAACTCCCCTTTGTTTGGTACACATTTCCCACTGTCTTCGAAAGACATATTCCATGGGTTAGAACTTGGTAGAGATGCTGAGTTCTGAATGGATGAACCTCCAAAGTTATGAAAGCCAACATTACACAATAATTAAATTTTAAAAACAGGCAGACAATTAGAAATAGAGTGGAGTAAGAGTCCTGTACGCTGCTACCAAAATAAGGGAAAAAATGAAAGAATGTAATTGTTTACACGTTCATCCATCAAACTTCTTTACATAGCTTGAGTATTTAAACTTATAATTATAAACTTATAATCATAAATTTCCAATACAAATCATGTTGTTTACTTGCAACATGGTTGTGTAATCAGATTTCCTTTCCAGCCTTATGAAGACATTTTCTTTAGCATCTCTATCAATTAATATTTACTTACTTATTCCAGATTCATTTCAATAGTTTTCCTTTCCCTGTTTATAGCTTGCATTTTACTTCCCTCTTCAGTTTTTTTTTTGTTTAATTTTTCATCAAATGTGTTGTTTTATATATTTTGCACAGCATCTGCCATAGCTTATCTTTGTGTTAATTCTTAGTTAGCTTAACTCTTTAGTTAGCCAATAAAACTTTTTCTCCCTTTTCAATTTTTTGGTGCCTATGTGTCATTTTTTCTGACTGTACTTTTTGTAATAACTACTCCTTTGCAATGAGAATTTTAAACCAGTTCCATATAAATTTGGGGATCAATTCTGCTGGTTTCTCTTTTGAAAAAAAAAAAACAACAGAAATTTGTTATTGAGATGGTCTTCCCTTTTGGGTTTTCAACTAACTTCCTGTTTATATTTGACAATTCCATCTAAATATTCTTCCTTTCTGGAGTACCTGGGTAGCAAAGTCAGTTAAGCATCGGATTCTTGGTTTCGGCTCAGGTCATGATTTCATAGTTCATGGGTTCAAGCCCTGAGTCAGGCTCCACGCTGACAGCATGGGGCCTGCCTGGGATTCTCTCTCACCCTCTCTCTGTCCCTCCCCTGCTCATGCAAGCACATGCACACATGCTTTATCTCTCTCAAAATAAATAAACTTTAAAAAATAACAATAAATAAATATTCCTCCTTCCCATGCTGCATATCTTTTGTTTCTTTCTCTTGCTTTATTGCTCTGGTTAAAACTCCCAGTTCTATGTTAAATAAGAATGCTAAGAGTAGACATCTTTGCCATGTTTTCAATCTTGGAGGAAAAGCATTCAGTCTTTCACCGTTAAGTATAATGTTAGCTATAGGGTTTTTTGGTAGATTTTCTTTTTTTTTTTAATTAAAAAAATTTTAATGTTTATTTGCTTTTTAAAAATTTTTTAAATGTTTATTTATTTTTGAGAGAGAGAGAGAGGGAGACAGAGCGTGAGTGGGGAAGGAGCAGAGAGAGAGGGAGACACAGAATCCAAAGCAGGCTCCAGGCTCTGAGCTGTCAGCACAGAGCCCGATGTGGGACTTGAACTCACAGATTGTAAGATCATGACGTGAGCCGAAGTCTGATGCTTAACCAACTGAGCCACCCAGGCTCCCCTAGATTTTATCAAGTTGAGGATGTGTCCCATCATTCCTAGTTTTCTGAGAGTTTTTATCACAAATGTGTATTGAATTTTGTGATATGCTTTTTCTGCACCAATTGAG